ACCACCCCCACCCCACACATAACGCCACAGTGAGCAGCGTTAGACCGCTCACTGGCGTCTGTGCACCACAAATGTCTCATCCTACCGTACCCACAGAATATCGCCTTGGATCGTGCTGTGTAATGTAGCACATTATCACCGCTTCGAGAACACCGGTGTCTAGAGCGAGGGCGGGGGAAGGGCGGAAACATCGAGTGGAGGGGTGGGGCAAGGGCAGGGAAATATGATGGAGCACCTCAAAGTTTGATGCAAAAACGCATGATCGCACCGGCTCGCCTGGTGCGTTCCAGTCTAGGTTGCTGCTTGTTGCAGCGCTCTAGCGCTGTACGGCAAAAACGCATAAAAACTCGGGCTCGGTTAGTAGTTGGCCAGTATTCGGAAGGCGCTCTAGTATCTCTGCGAACGCTATCTTTTTTCGCGACATCGCTAGCTGAAGCCGTTTGGCACTTTGCCGGACGCGTTGGGTAGTGCTATCCGGCTTTTGGCGGCTAGATCGCGTAGTTAGGGGGAAGCGGGTTTGGAGGATTGGACGTGGGAGGGAGTACTGGTTGGTACTTGGCCAGATACAGTACAAAGGGCGCGGCTGGAGCTAAGACAGTAGAGAGGAACGAAGGTGCGGTCAGGAGCTAAGGGCGATAAATGGTGACAGTAATTGGGTGGTGGTGGGTGATGGGTGCTCCGATGCGGCTCTGGAGGCAGGGATTGTGAATAGGATGGAAGAGGGGAGTAATGGTACTAATCAGGAGTTCGAGACAAGAATTGCAGGCAGCAGTAAACAGAAAAATAAACCAACACAGCAACACGAAGAAAAGTAAATTAAAACAAACTGAACTTATGAATAAACGGAAAAAGAGCGAAATCAATGAATTGGGACCTGTTAACAAAACTCATGTCAGTGGGGATTGTCCTACATAAACCCGTCTTGAGTAAGCTATTTCCATATTTATGAAGGTTATGCTTAGGTAAAACTAAGGGCAAATAAGTTCGATTGGAACTGCACAAAAATTGCACACAATTTTACTGTTTTACCTCCGGGCAGCTTTCCAACTGTTACACTTTTGTTTTTTTGCCTTTATACCTTGCAGAAGCAATGGCTAACTTTATCACTGCGGGATACACGGGGATGTAGCCAGCCTTTGCTTGTGTGAGGTTCTGAAGGCAAAAAAAAGAAAACAGTCTAACCTGTTCTTGTTTACCTCATATCCTACAACGGAAATTATTCGCTCTCAGCCTTACCTAAGCATCAGCTTCATTAATAGGGAAGTCCCCTACTGATGATCAGTTTTTATGGAACAATTTCCACTAGCAAAACCTCAGTTTTTTTGCTTTTATTCATAGAGTCAGATTTGCTTTAATGTACTTTTCTTTGTTGCGCTGTGTTGTCTTTTTCTCTCTATTACTGTCTCCAGTTCTTACCTCGAGTCTCTGACTTGTATCCTCGTTCTCCTTCTCTACCCTGTCCCCAAATCCTGCCCGCAAAGCAACATCTGGGCTCCTCTTCATCCCCACTACAAGAGCACTGTGCAAGCAAGCAGTGTTTCACCTCTCCCTATCTCAGGTATCTACGGTGAAAACCAGGAGCACACTTCCATCCACATTTCTCACTTCTTCCCCTACCCCCTCCAAATGAATGTAACCTAGTCAACCGACAAAGGATCTACGCCATTAGTCCTAAAGTCCACCTAACCAAGTCCCCTCCCTTGCCTCAAATGAAACCTACAATATACAACACCTGTCACATCCAAACTCTAGCCATTTACCGTGGGGCAGCTTCACCAGCGGTCGGTAGCAAAAGTTTTTTGCAGATTGTGCATAATGCCAGCGGAGCCGAGTTATTGTGATTGCCCCTGTTGTCAAAAAACATGCGTGGTGTGTGTGTGTGTGTGTGTGTGTGTGTGTGTGTGTGTGTG